TGGGACCTATTTTTTTGGTGTTCCTCCAGCAAAGATGGGGCCCAATCTCCATCACTGTTTTTTGGACTAGAAGTGTGTTATTATGTGAGAAAGGATGTACCAATGGTTTCTTTTCACTAAATGGGTGTAGAAAATTCAGATCACCAGACAGAGAATGTAAAACCCTTAGATGAGATAACATAGATTGTTTGTAGTTTGTAGTTATTGGGGTTTTTTATGTTTCAAATGCAATAGTAATGTTCTAGAAAAAGTATTTTAAATATTTTGTTGTTGATGAGGTAGTTTTCAGATTTTTTATATGTTTGTATGTTGGTTTTAGGGTCCCCTGGTGGCACAGAGAGTTAAAGCACTGAGCTGCTGAACTTGCTGACCGAAAGGTAGGCAGTTCGAATCCAGGGAGCGGGGTGAGCTCCCATTTTTAGCCCCAGCTTCTGCCAATTTAGGAGCTCAAAAACATGCAAATGTGAATAGATCAATCGGTACCGCTTCTGTCAGAAGATAATGGCACTCCATACAGTCATGCTGGCTACATGACCTTGCAGGTGTCTATGGACAATGCCGGCTCTTCGGCTTAGAAATGGAGATGGTCACCAACCTCCAGAGTTGGTGACTGGACTTAATGTCAGGGGAAAACTTTATCTTTATGTTGGTTTTGTTTTAATCTGTCTAAATAAAAAATACTCATTAAAAATACCAAATTTTCAGAATAGCTTTGTTTTTTCTGCCAATCCTCCTTCATAGTATTTTTGGCTTTTAAAGTTGCAGTACTACTAGCTTTTTAAGTTTTGGACTTCCGTGATGAAGAGTACTGAGATTGGGAGGAAGATCCAGTATCTCCAAAGTGGTATCTAGTTAAGATCAGTGCCTTGAGCCAACTTCAGACTAGTGGGATTGGAGGGGAAAGCCAAGTATTCCCAACTGTGTTTCCCAAGTTTTTCTTTAATGGAGTGGGCAGAAACTGCACTCGCTCATGTGATAAATCAGCCTTCGGGCTGATATGAACGGGGTAGAAATAATGCAAATAAATAAAATAAATCTGAAAATGGATGATTTCAGGAAAAAATACAAGAAAGAATGACGTGTGATCAGATTTGAAAAGTGATACGATTTGCTTTGTAATGCCCCATAACACAATATGGTAATATGCCGAGGTCCTGAACCGGTGCTTGGCTGCTGTGACGGTCTGGATGGGAGCGAACAAATTGAAATTGAATCCAGACAAGACAGAGGTACTCCTGGTTAGTCGTAAGGCCGAACAGGGTATTGGATTACAGCCTGTGTTAGATGGGGTCGCACTCCCCCTGAAGACACAGGTCCGCAGTTTGGGGGTGATCCTGGATTCATCGCTGAGCCTGGAACCCCAGGTTTCGGCGGTGACCAGGGGAGCCTTCGCACAGTTAAAACTTGTGCGCCAACTGCGACCGTACCTTGGGAAGTCTGACTTAGCCACGGTAGTCCACGCTCTAGTTATATCCCGCCTTGATTACTGCAACGCTCTCTACGTGGGGTTGCCTTTGAAGACAGTCCGGAAGCTGCAGTTAGTCCAACGGGCGGCAGCCATGATTTTAACAGGAGCTGAGCGCAGGGAGCATACAACTCCCTTGCTGAACCAGCTCCACTGGCTGCCGATATGCTACCGGGCTCAATTCAAAGTGCTGGCGTTGGCCTTTAAAGCCCTAAACGGTTCTGGCCCAACTTATCTATCCGAATGTATCTCAGCCTATCAGCCCACCAGGACCCTAAGATCTTCCGGAGAGTCCCTTCTCTCTATCCCTCCAGCTTCAGAAGTGCGGCTGGCGGGAACGAGAGATAGGGCCTTCTCTGTGGTGGCCCCCCGGCTTTGGAACACCCTCCCTATAGAGATACGATCAGCCTCTTCGCTGATGGTGTTTAGGAAGAGACTTAAAACATGGTTATTCAAACAAGCATTCGGCTAATCTGTGGCAATCGAATTCCGGTGACTATGGACAGGAAATATGGACAACGAATTCTGGACTGTGATTTCAACTTGAGATATATGGGATTATTATTGGTGGCCCAATAATTTGTTATTGTATATGTATATGTTTTTAAATTGGAGACTGTTTTAATTGTTGTAAACCGCAGTTGAGTCGCCGACCCAGGCTGAGAAATTAGCGGTATACAAGTGTACCAAATAAATAAATAAATAAATATGAGCCTCCACCCCACCCCACTTGATGATATCCCTAAGTAAGAATTCAGGTTGAACCAGATTTAAGACTGCAAAAAATGAAACAAAACAAATTGTAACGAAAAGAATGAACCAGATTTAGCATAGAAACATGAGAAATGAGATTGACAGGTTTGTTCCATCACTAAATTACTGAATCAAACCAATGGTCCATTATGGTAAGTCACTGTGATCAGCTCTGACAGGAAGCAGTGTTCCAGCATTTTTTAATCTATCTTTTCTCATGCCTCTGAAAACCATAGGTTGGCAATCGGATGAGCTGGGGATTTATATGCATATAATGCTCCACTGTGCTATAGTCTGTTCTATGCCTGTATTCTTTGTAACAGATATTATCTTTAGAAGGCCTTCATTTCTCTTTCTCTCTCTGAAATGGACCACATTGATGAAATCAGCTTTAGAGAGCACAGAGAGTGATAAACTACTACTAATAAAAAGCATAAATAATTATCTCAGCCCTTTTGTTATTGCAACGGCAGTTTTGTAATTATCGGTTTACCCTTATATTTGCAGTCTGAACTGAAATAGGTGCATTCAGCCTATTATGCTTTGAACACATTGTATCAGAAGTTACACATTTTCTGTCATAAATTCGAAAGAAGCAATAATAATGAAAAAGAAGAGCAATAAAGTATGCCTTGACCAGTTAGCTGGTTAGTCAAAATGAATGAGTTCAGAATCGTCAGGGAGGTTACTTTGATCTTCATCAGGCTTAAACTGAGCTACAAAACTGCTACCATTCTTTATCTAGTTAAGCAAGGAAGTGGAATCAAGACAGAAGTCCTGTTGGCTTAGTTTACTATTTTAAAAAGTGTTGTAAGAAGTGTTGGGATCATATCTCAAAAGAACTCAAGTAGCTTCAGTGGCTCCCAGTTCACTTCTGAGCACAAATGAAGGTGTTGGTGTTACTTTTAAAGCCCCACACAGCCTGGAGCTCAGTCACTGCCTGGCATTCAGCTGACTGCCTTCCGTCATATACTCACTACTCACTGAGACTGCAAACAGATGCCTTTCTCTTACTGCTGTCACTATGTGAGATATGATGACAAAGTTGGGGATAAGAGTACTTCTGAAATGATGTTACCACAATTCTGCAATGGTTTCTAGGAGCCAGGCAAATACTTTAAAAAATCCCATCTGCTTTTTAATTCTTTTAGTGCTTTTTAATTCACTGTATTTGCAAATGGTTCAGCTTTCTTTTTTCCAGTCACTGAACTGAAGTTTTAACAGTTATTGTCATGTTGGCATTGATTTTTAGGGCATGAATTACTGCCTTATCTTGTTGCAGTCTGCCCTGAGCATATTCATACTGATGATTGAAGGATATAAATCATTCATTCCTCAATACCAGGGTTTCTCAACCTGGGGATTGGGACCACTGGGGGGGGGGGGGTCAAGAGGGGGTTTCAAAGGGGTCACCAAAGACCATCAGAAAACACATATTTCCAATGGTCTTAGGAATCCCTTTGTCATAGTTATTTGGATTCACAGTGCTCTCTAGATATAGGGGAACTACGTCTCCCCTGAATCACTGTCAATTCATCCTAAATCCCTCCAGTAGGTTCTGTGGTCCAATTCTATCATTGCTGGGATTCAGAATGCTCTTTGATTGTAGGTGAACTATAAATCCCAGCCACTACAACTCTCAAATGCCAAGGTCTATTTTCCCCAGACTCCACCAGTGTTCACATTTGGGCATATTTGTGCCAAGCTTGGTCCAGATTAATCATTATTTGAGTTCACAGTATTCTCTGGATGTTGGTGAACTATAAATCCCAGCAACTACAACTCCCAAATGACAAAATCAATCACCTCCAACCCCACTAGCATTCAAATTTGGGAGTATCGGGTATTTGTGCCAAATTTGGTCCAGTGAATGAAAATATATCCTACGTATCAGGTATTTACATTACAATTTATAACAGTAGCAAAATTACAGTTATGAAGTAGGAACGAAAATAATTTGATGGTTGGGGGTCACCACACATGAGGAACTGTATTAAGGGGTTGTAGCATTAGGAAGGTTGAGAAATACTCCTCTCTCTCTCTCTCTCTCTCTCTCTCTCTATATATATATATATATATATATATATTTACACACACACACATACACATAAATACACACACACACACACGTGTACACACACACTCATTTCCATCTTGAAATTAAAATGCAGTAATGTGTATTCTCTCCCACACTTCTTACAAACTTGTTTCTATTGTATGGCCATTTTTGGAATGTTACTTCATCAGAATATCAGCTCTAAGTAACATTTTACCAAGACTGTATTAATTAGGAATATATTACTTATGAACATGTTTCCCTTGTTCCCAAATGGCACACAAGTTAAAAAAGTTGTGATTTTTGTAGGACTCTGTGTGTGTGTGTGTGTGTGTGTGTGACCCTCTAAACATTCTGGGCATCTTATCCTTTTGCAGTGGCTGTCCCCTGTTTTAAATCTTCCTGTAATTCTCTCTTGCTTGTTTGCACAATATCATTTACTGACTTTGTTTTCAGTTGTGTAATGAAGCATGACACACAGATGCTAGAAGAATAGCAAAACATCTCTTTAAATGACATGACCACCAAACATTTATTTATTTATTTATTTATTTATTTATTAAAACCCTGAATGGAAACTTTGCTGACTGCTTATTATAAATATTCAGAGCCAACAGATGCACCCCATGTTTCTATAGTCCTTGTACACACATCACCTGTATTTAATAAATAAAACAAAAGTAGAATGCATAGCCCTTTTTCAGCTAGAGATGTTTTAATACTTACGGCTACTTTTGATACTCATGTGCCCTCTGAATGGTCCCCTCAAGGAATATCTGGGAATCATGGCTATCTGTGACCCTTGAGAGGGGAGAGGAAAAAAGAGACATGATTGAGAAATATGAATACTATTTCAATTTTTTTGAGCAAGGCCCAGGTAAATGACCTTGGAGGGCCGTATCTGGCCCCCGGGCCTTAGTTTGAGGACCTCTGGTATAATACATAGAGCTTCCAAATATCTAGAAACGGAGCCAAAGTATCTACAGAAGCACCTCTACCTGTATCAGGTGGGGTCAACACGTAACCTGCAAACTAGTGTTTCCTCCCATTTTTTTGGACTGGCTCTTAATCAGGGCCCTTCCACACAGGCATATAACCCAGAATATCAAGGCAGAAAATACCACAATATCTTCTTTGAACTGAGTCCACACTGCCATATATTACAATTCAAAGCAGATAATCTGGGATTTTATTCAGCTGTGTGAAAGGGGCCTTGGTGACATCCATATCTGAAGGGAAATGAAGATTGAAGGAGCTTTCCAGAGTGCTGAGATGATTTGGGGGCTTGCATTGAACTAAAACCCAGAGAGCAATGTTGCTACTCTACTGATGGAATTATCTTCTGTATAGTACCATCGTTTTGAAAATAAAATTGGAAGATAGTTTCTTGAGGAATCTCCCAGAAAATAAAGGCCCTTTTAGGGACACTTCATTTCACAGGTCACAAATCAGATCCCAAGGCATATGGGAAGCAATTTTCAGAACATATAGGCAATGGACAAGTTATTGTGTTCACTCCAATATGTTTCACAGCCCTTTCATGCTTATAAATTGTACTAGAGAGATAAGCTCCATTCTGTAAGTTTTTTATGGAGTGCTACCTCTTTGAGCATCTATTCAAGTATAAATTCAGGAGAATTTATACTTACACTGACCACCCCAAAGAAAAGCCTTAGAAAATTAGAAGACTGCAGTGATCCATTTCGTTATAATGGATGCAGGGTCATTTGTTTGATGCTGATTCAGTAAAAGTGTAGCTGAAATATTGAATGAGCTATTGCTCTTAGTATCAGACTGATAACAGAAATAATAATTTAAAAACACATGGACTTGAGCAATTTAATTAGCTTCCAGACAAAGTAACAATTTTACCTGTGAAGTCTAGCAATACATTGACTGGAGAGGCCTTTAATAAAGGTAATCCCCAAGTTAAGAACATGATAGGCTCAGTAGGTTTGTTCTTAAGTTGAATTTGTCTGTAAGTCAGAACAGGTACATTTTAAAGTGTAACTCCAGCCATATATATAATTGCTTGTCGTGGAAAGCAAGGATTGGAGAAAAAGTTTCACCTTTTCCCCATGATAACTCATCTAGGAGTGAATTTTTGGGCAGTAGATTTCTCTCACTTCTTGTTGTCTCACCTCTGTTCTTAACTATGAGTAATTTGTAAGTTGGATGTTTGTAACTGTTGGATTTCATCCCTGACTGCACAAGTCTCCAGACCTCAATGAGTAGTTTGCCTAGATAGATTAGATTGAGGGATTCCTTCCCCAAGTTTCCTTTGCATGCCTATCTTAAGAAGGGGCTTAGAAGGGGTTTGTCTTGCTCATCCTGCATGCCACTATCTCCTTCCCTTTTGAATATTTAGCAATGTGATCTTTTCAGGGAAAACATAATTCCCTCTTTAAAGGTATTTTTAATGCTCTGGGCTGGCCATGCAGCCTGTCTCCATTTTCTGGGTCTCTTCTTCCATTTGTTCTCCAAGAGTGAGGATGCATCTTCCTTTTCTCCAGCCAATATGTAGTTATATGGATACTATTTGTTATTTTTCCTTTTCCTTTCCTTAGAAGATAGCTCAGTGAAGCTAGCTAGCTCCAAGAACCTTTCCTATCCAGAATGTTCTTTGACTTTAATAAACATATTATTTTTGATCCTATGAAGTTGTGGATCTGCAATCCTGTTCCATCCTGTTGAATGGAAGCCAATTCTTGCTCACCGCACAAAAGCTTTTGTTGATTATGAACTGTGCTTCTGGCACTCTGCTATATTTTGTGGAATCACCCCCAAGTGAGGGTTATTTTTGAGCCTAGCAGCTCTTGATTCCTGCCATTTTTCTGCTTTGCTTTTCATATTTACTTTTTTATTTACCATGAATTCATATACGCTTTATCCAGACATCCTTGCATCACATCACAGTCCCTGACATGACTGATTTAAATATAATAAAATAATTGAGCAATGCTGCTTTCTCGAACACATTAGGCTCCAGAGCCTTGCCTCATCTTTATTTTGAATGAAGACAGGAGAGTTTACAGACCTAAAGATATTGTTGATTTATAATTACAGTTTACTCTTGCAAATTGTAGGGCAAAAACAATGTGAGGCAAAGTTGGGATGGAACTGCTTTTGGCGGGATCTTAAAGCAAATCCTGATACCCATCAAGTACAGAAGATCTTGTACTTTGAATGAGACCTTCTACAAGAGCAGACTTAATGTCTACAGCACTTGATAAATATCATTAGTTCCTTTATGCTTGTCTCAGAAGTGGTTCCATCCTCGGAAATGCCTGGTTGCTTATCCTCAAGTACAATGAGAAGCATGCCTTAATATTATCTTCTCATCAAGTTTCCGCTTCTTTCAGATTCACTTCAGTGGCAAAATTTAGCACCGGGGAAATGATTTTGCACTTACACAAGAAAACCTTCCTTTTTCCAGAAATGAATGTCTAATAACCATAGAATAATGGAAAATCAACAAAAAGTGAAAACAGAGAACAGATGCACTAATGGAAAGCTACAAGATACATACTATACTTTTCTGGAGGAGGAAGGTGATAATGCTCCAGTGTGAGACCGAAATAACAAAAGCATTCACTTAAAGGATCATATGTGCCAAGTATATATTTTAAAAGCACATGGGGAAAAAAAACAACAACAATTGCCTAGGAAGAAATAAAACCTGGAGCCATTACTGGCTTTTCAAATTTTCAGTGCTCCCTTCAATCTCTGTGATTTCAGTTCAGAATTGTCCAGAACTATATAAGGTTAGGATAAAGCTGAATGTAAGAGGAGTGCTTTTACATGTACAGTTCTTCAGTCTTCCTCCCATTTCCCCCTTTGCCCTCAGCTTATTTCAATTGTTGCAAAATAGTGTTCATGCAGTTAATCTGGGTGATGGAAGAGGACAGGAGTGAACCCTTCCCAGTTGCTTAGCCACACATCTCCCAGTTTTCCTATGTGAAATATTAGAGAATAGGCTATTCTAGCTAACTTCTGTGATTAAGAGGTTTGTTTTCTCAATCTCTCTTGATTATAATTTCTTCTTTTATTTCTGTCTAAGAATAAGATTTTACATCTTTTCAGTGTAATAATAAAAATATCCACTCTTGTCTGCTCCACCTGCAGCACACAATCTTTAGGTAGGCTTGGCACTCCAGGTAATCTATTCATCAGTATTTGAACTCCACATGGAGGCAGAACAGGAGGAACTGATTGCTTTTGTTACAGTAAAAGCACATCTTAAATATGCTCCACGCTGTGGGGCTCATAATAGGTGGCACAGAGAAGCAGAAAGAAATACCTGTTCCAATGAAGGCAAAATACGATTTTTAGAGCCTGTGACAGCAAAGCCTTGTAGAAACAAAGCACTTCAGTCATGATCCATTAGCAAAAAAATAATGTCAAATAAATTTTTTAACTCTGGTTCCAAGCGGAATAAGGAGAAATAATGGGTGGTATGAAGTATGGATTAAAGCAGGAGTCAAAAGGTTGCCAGAGATTTCCAGGGACAAAAATCAAAGTACTCTTTGCATCCTCTAGAAGTTACAGAGTATTTATTTATCATATCAGGAGCGAACCAAACAGCTGTATTGTATTTTAAAACAAACAAAAAAACACAAAGTTTGCAAACTTGGCATTCTATTCAATGTCCTTTGACCAGTAGCTGGCCACTTGGAGTGTCTCTGGTGTTGCTATAAGAAGGTCCTCCATTGTGCATGTGGCAGGGTTCAGGCTGCATTGTAATAGGTGATCTCTGGTTTGCTCTTCTCCCCACTCACATGTCGTGGACTCCACTTTGTGGCCCCATTTCTTAAGGTTGGCTCTGCATCTTGTGGTGTCAGGCACAGTCTGTTCAGAGCCCAGTTTTCTGCATACCCTGGAGGAAGTCTCGCATTTGGTATCAGTCACTAATTGAGGTTCTGCGTTTTAGCCTGCTACTTTTGGACTCTCACTTGCTGAGGTGTTCCAGTGAATGTCTCTGTAGATCTTAGAAAACTATTTCTTGATTTAAGTCATTTGTATGCTAGCTGATATCCGAACAGGGGATGGGCTGGAGATGTCACTGCCTTGGTCCTTTCACTATTGGTTGCTACTTCCTGGAGGATGTCAGGTGGTGCAATACTGGCTAAACAGTGTAATTTCTCCAGTGATGTAGGGTGCAGACATCCCATGATAATGCACTGCTTTAGCATAGTGAGATGTGTTCCACACTGGGCAATTTTATGGAGTAAAATTTTACCATGTTCCCATCGTATACTGGGTTGCTTTAAGCTCAGACATTTGTACCTTTGAGGGAACAAAAACAAGTTTCAGTTCATGGCTTTGAATTGAAATTAGGTTTTGGGTTTTGGAGCTGTTTTGCCATTATGATTGCTTTCCCCCCTTGGAATGTTTGAGCAATTTCCCTTTGATTATTTCATCCCTTTCCACAAAGATATCACCATAGGTCAAAGACATGTCATGTTACCATTCAGAGATTGATATTTGGATGTACTGCTGCTTTGAAAGCCAGGAACACTTATTGGCTAATTGAGCTGATTAACCAATTAATAGATGGAGAGCAGTTCAAAAATAGAGGGACAATAAATCAGAGCCCTCCTGGCTGTCTTGTTATCATTACCAGCATACAAATTCAGTGGCAAAAATCCTCATCGGCCTTTAATAAAATGTAGTTAAGGCAAAAACACAGCCTGATTTTCTCTCTAACACCCTTGCCCCTCCTCCCATGCTTTTTGACTATCACTCCTATTATCCCAGAACTAGCTTCTGGGCACTGAAGTCTGAAACTACAAGATGACAGC